ATATAGAGCAGAGACGTCAGAAGATATCAGAAGAGTACTCAATCAGATCGACATTGGAGTTTCCTTCAAAACATCAGACACACTACGAAACAACCTTCTCCATATAAAAGACCGAATCCCTAAAGATTCTCTATCTAATTGTGTCTATAAAACAAAATGCATGCAATGTAATGCGATATACATCGGACAAACATCGCCAGCGAGGAATCAAAACCAGAAGAAATGAACACCGTAGAGTATCTGTTCAACCACCGAGAAATTCGGTTGAATTAGAAAAACTTGAAAAATCATCAGCCATAGGTCTACACGCTACGCCGTAGAATCAGGCCACAAATTTGATTTTGACAATAGTGAAATCATCATCCAGAAAAAGCATTTCAGAAATCACAAAGAACGTCTAATATCATCAGAAGCACTCCATATCAAGTGGAATCCAAATTGTCTGAATAGGAATGACGGACTAAAACAGAATTTGACCTGATTACAACACCCACCTCCCCCATGATATGACAAAATCAACACGAATGTGATAAACAAGTTCACTATGTAAACACACACTGCTTTTATAATTTTACACACTGATCAAATCCAACAATCTACACTTGGTTTTGTTATCTTTACCAATTGATCAACTTGACAACGAAAAATGACCCCAGACTAACGAACGATGATCAAGTTAGTAAATTTTGTTTTGATATCATAACAGATGTACTATTACCTTTGTTATTTGGTTTATTGATCTTCATTGTTATTTTGACTTTCAATATGTCCCCTTTAACTTGACCTAAGTCTATTTTCTCATCTCTTTGTAATATATATGCCGAGATTTTGTAAATTCCGGTTTAATAATACTTTGATAAAGCTATTAGCAGCAGCATTAAATAGCGAAACGTCAGTAAAAACAAGTGTATCGTTCGCAATCAAACAAAATCCCTACAAAACCAATACTTGAAGATATATATTAATTCAGTGTTTAATATATTATCTGCAAACCAATAAAAGTAATATAAAGTGACTACTACTTATTAAACTGTTGATTCCAGACAGATATCATGTGAATTAAGCAAAATAAATATAATATAGGTCATGAGACTCATTTTTCTTACAATCTAAATGCTATTTAAGATATAACCTTACCTAAGTTTTGCGTATGTTGATCCAGTGCTCGTCTGATAACTTGAACTTTCTGGTTTTCATCCTAGGTGGGGTCATGGATGCGCAGATATAAACAGTCCCCAAGCACGACGAAATGACGGTCTATCTCAGTCCTCTAATTGTTGTGGCTTAATGATTAAATCTACTTTGAAATCGATTGAATCCGCACAAAACGAAAAATATATCAAAGTGCACATTGTTCCTTAAAGAATCATGTGAATAGCTTTGAGTTATTTCTGGCCTGTTGCATAACAACGATTCGTTCTTAAGTTTGAAAACCAGGGAGTACTACCTGACAGCTGTTTCGTCCTAGTTTGAGGCTGTTTGCCGGTACGCACCTACAGAATGAGGTTTGAACCAAGGACTTTCCGGTTACAAGGCAAGCTCGTAGACCATTCAGCCACTGGGTTCTGACTCAATAGCCCATGGATTCTAACTTCTTCTGATTCTTTCTTAAGCAACCGATTTCAAAGGTAAACTCTTGAGGTAGAATGCTTACCAGCCGTGCCCGCTGTCTCGGTTGGATCCTCAGCTGACACGCACAAAAACCTCAACTAGCCGGCAGTAATCCCTAGGCGTAAGGTTGACAATCCTTACTCATAAAAACGATATCATTTCTGAAACTTCAAAGTCTTGCGTTACACCAGGAATGAACCGAAAGACTACTTGTTATTATCATTATTTTTTAAAACAGAATACCATAACTCTACTTTATACTACTGAATTTGTCTCAATAGAAATGTAAATGTTAAAAACTCATCTCCTTTCATCAAAGGTAAAAACTATGATTTCTCTACAATATTCAAAGTGATCTATTTAGTTAACAAAAGAGGACTAAAAGGTAACGAATTGGAAATAGTGAATTTCTTGAATAGTGTCTTCATACGCCCTATTACTTGTTATAGCATATCGATAGAATGTTGAGTATTCTCTGAAAAAAATAAACCTGACTAATCAGAAGACTCACAGTGTAGTTTCCTACATCGCTTTTACTCGTTCCTTGCTTTTCGAGTGAAAAACTTTGGAGTTTCACCAATGGTGTCTTTCTATCTTTTTACCGCCTAGGGTCGCTAGCCTTACTTTCAACCTTACCTCTTTCCAGGATTTATGAACGCTCCGGGGGTTGAACCTACACCATGTGCTTTAATGGTGAAATTTCTACCATTAAGTCACTATCATGTCATTGATATTTGTTAAATTCGGTTCAATATAGCCAAAATATACATTCAGACATCTATAAAACATCCATATTGACCAAAGAATATCCTTTTCGATAATTTCCTTCTCCTCCGGCTCTACAATTATGTATATGTTTATATACATAGAATATTCTAGATTAGTAGTCAACAACAATATTAGCGTTTTTTAAATAATATCGATTTGTAAAGTAAGATCAGTGGAATTACAGTTCATTAAAGATGCTTAAATTATAATCATAATAAAAATATAATAGCAAACAGAATATCAACTAAAATCAAGGAAATTTCTACAAAATATTGAGGATCATTCAAACCTAGATGGCCAAGGTTAGGACAATGTCTGAACTAGCTTCTTTTGGATACATAAATTACGCTTTTTAATGTGGATCCCAATGGCCATCCTGAGCAGTATTTAGTAATGGAACTCTTAATGTGAAGTTAAGATTTGTTGGTATGCGGTGAATGACTTTGAAAGCTACCTGGTTAACATCAATCTTGTGTTCTGTATCCACAAGATGAGATAGAAAAAAAAGCATTCCCTGCTGCTAAATTACGCCGTGTCTTCAAAACCGCTCCTATTTTGCGTTCGGGAGTAAAAGATAAACTGCCTAATTTCGCCTCTTCCATGTTTATCTACCAATTTAACTGCTCCTATGGAGCCGGTTAAATAAGCCATACAATTAGGCATGTTTCTTGTCGGATTTCCGAACATCACCCTGCTTGGTTAAGTAGAGGACAAATAAAATTTATTCGTAGCGCTATTCTATCTCATCTTGTGGACAGAGAACACAAGATTGATGTTAACCAGGCGGCTTTCAAAGTCATCTACCGCATACCAACAAATCTTAACTTCACATTAAGAGTTCCATTACTAAATATTGCTGAGGCTGGCCGTTGGGATCCATATTATGAAGCCTAATTTATGCATCCAAAAGAAGTTAGTTCAGACATTATCCTTACCTTGGCCATCCAGGTTTGAATAATCCTCAATTTTTGTGAAATTTCCCTAATTTTAGTTGATATTCTATTCGCTGTTATATTTTTATTATTATCATAATTTAAGCATCTTTAATGAACTGTAATTGCATTGATCTTACTTTACAAATCGATATTATTTAAAAAACGCTAATATTGTTATTGACTACTAATCTAGAATATTCTATGTATATAAACATATATATATATATAATTGTAGAGCCGGAGGAGGAGGAAATTATCGAAAAGAATATTCTTTGCTCGATTATTTTGTGTTTTATAAATTCGGTTCACAGTAGGGTAAATTAGACGACTGGAACCCCAAATTATCTTTTGTACTAAAAACATCAATCTCCAATACTTGATTTACTAATTCCTAGAGACTTTAACACATGCCTAACAAATTATGACAATAGACTTCAAAGGAAATTAAGTTTCAAATATATACTCCCGTCTAGATTCTTGTATTCTACAATCAGTAATAAATTATTATTATTATTATTGTTCCCTTGGGTTCCTAGTGGAACATAGGGCTTCAACTGCACGTCTCCACTTGCTTCTGTCTTCTGCTGTACTTTTCACTTGCGTCCATGTCAGTCCATACTGTTTCATCTCCTCCTCACACGATCTCCTCCATGTCACCCTTGGACGTCCTACTCGCCGCTTCCCTCCAGGGTTCCACTCGAGCACTGGCCTGACGCCCGATGTCACCCAGCGGCCTCTTCAGCGAGTGTCCAATCCATCTACACTTTCTCCTGCATATTTGTTGAGCGATTGGTTCCTGTTTTGTTTGTTCCCATAGCTTCTTGTTGGTGATTCTTTCCGGCCATCTAATCTTCAGTATGGAGCGAAGACAGTTGTTGATAAAGGTCTGCAACAGGCTGTTGGAAATATTCTTTGTGACCCGCCAAGTTTCTGATCCGTATAGAAGAAGTGACTGACTTGACGTTTGTATTGAAAATACTAATTTTGTTGTTGATGTTGAGTGACGAAGATTTCCAGATTGGTTTCAGGTTGATGAATGTGTTTCTCGCCTTCCCGATTCTCGATTTGACATCCTCGTCCGTTCCTCCTGCCTGTAGTTGAGACAATGCTCCCTAGATAAGTGAATGAAGTAACCTCTTTCAAATCCCTCCCGTTGATGGTGATTGGCACTGGATGTTGCTGCTGTTGTTGGTTGGTTATTTCCATAACCTCCGTCTTGTCTATGTTCACCTGGAGTGCTGTATTTGCTGCTTCTTTGACCAGTTTGTCGGTTTTTGCTTGTAAGTCTTCGATTTTGCAGTAGTAAATATTTATAGTCAAATATCTAACATGCACAGACCAAACCACCTTGTCATTAAAAATTGTCTATTGATAGAATAGCACGAAAACCAACTTTGATAAATAAAAATAAAATATTAAATTCACAAATCGAAACTCTAACACCTGTAGATTAATCCTACATCAATTTGTTTTCCCCACTACTGGTGTTTATTTTGTTTTACTGGTTGGGGCTCTACAAACCTCACGCCCGACCTTCCGTCTTTACCGAGTTTTAATAACTGTCTTTAGAGGTAAAGGAATGCCTAGGCCCCGGGATCGAACCCTGGATCACCTGATCTGACGCTCAAAGTAATCAGAATAAAAGCATACAATAAAAAATAACACACTTGCATAACATCTACTCACCTTCTTCTGATCCTGTAAGACCACTACTCTGACCTTGTGAATGTAACAAATTTTCACTTGCCAATAATGGTGATTGCCTGTAAACTGAATCAGTCCCCTGTGAACTAGGCTCTGATTGAGCACCTGGCTTAAAACGTTGTTCTCTTCTAGCCGTCGGTATAGTACTCAATGCACTTTTACTCCGAAATACATTACTACTTCTATTTTTCATAGGTATTTGTTCAGACAAAGCATTGGGATTATTATTACCGAGTTCATTGCTTCCTGAATTCATCTGTTCTGCATCAGTACTACTGTGTGTTTGTGGTTTAATTCCATAATCCTGTAGTGTTGTAATATCATCACTATGAAATCTTGCATGATATGTATCCTTGAGTAAACCTTTTTGTAAAGATTTATGTGAATCTGATGTATGCTTTCTTTGTGTACTACTACTACTACTACTTGATGTCGGTAGTCTAGTTATATCGACATCAGAAGAAGTCGATGTCGGATCTGTGTTTGGAGTTTCTTCAAAACTTGCTTGACGTTTTATATCTGATAAAGGATGAAGTTTTGAAGAGGTTGTTTTCACTGTACGCCTGCTGCATAGACTACTTTTATTCAACTTAGCTATTTGATTAAATTGTTGAGCTATACTATCTGGAATAACATCGGAATTTAATAAGTTCACTGTGATTAGGTCCACTTTGGGATTAACATTAGCTGGAGTAGGTGTCGTCGCCATTGTCGTCGTCGTTGGAGTTGTTGTACCAGTAATCGGTGTACTTCCAGTCGTAATATTTGCCATTGTATCAATAGTATTAGCCATAGTAGTAATCATAGTAGCATCAGTACTGGAGGCCTCTGTTGTCGCGCTGATAATCTCGCCTTCATCTTTTCTTTCACTGCCTACTATACTCTCAGCTTTATTGATAAGTGATTTCCCTAGATCACGTAGAATTTTATCTGTACTAGTTTGTGGCGGGGATTCCGTGATAGAAAGAAACTCTTTGCCTAAAATTTCTGGAGATGTATTCGAACTGCCTATCGCCAATGGGAGGTAATATATATGTTCAGTGTTGTGCTGTGGAATTTCTTCTCCTTCCCCTTCCCCTTCTTCTTCTTCTTCTCCTTCAACAGCTATATTGAATACTTTCAAAACTGATGATGACGATGATTCATCTTCTTTAGTGTTCGATGATGAATAATAATCAGACTGTATAGAACTACTCTTATTCATGATATCACCAGTTTCAGAGATTATATTTGTATCATTCAATGAATCATTATTGATTTTTTCTCCTCCCCTTCCTCCTACTCCTTCATCTACTTCTTCTTCTTCTATGTTAGATATTTTTTCAATCGATTTTGTGCTTAATTCCTCATCATTTAAACTAGAAGTAGTAGTAGCAGTATTCATTGTGTTTTTTTTTATTATTGAACGTTGATCACTTGAACATTGAACACTTGAATGTTGAACACTTTTTAGTTGTTAGAATAGCAAAGTTAAGGCAGAGTTTTTTTTTTTGAATATAAATCATTGAATCATTATTATTGTTTCTTTCTTTCTTCAATTATTTCCGGGCCTCCTGATTTGATTTTATGCAAAAGTTGTGCTGGATTTCTTGAAATATAAAATATTCATCAATTTTTCCTGTGTTTTCCGGTGAATTTACGTAAACAGTAAAACTGGTAAGTGCAACAAGAAGAAGAAACAGAAAAAAAAATAAGTGACGAGGTGAAGAATGGAAATACGTCAAGTGAAATAGGATGTGGATTATATTATATATATATATATATGCTGAATACAAACAACCTGTGCCCATAAATATATTATGAAATATCAATTTTCTCCCTTGAAAACATGCACACACACACACACAACTACAACAAAAAAACTAACAAAATAAATGTGTGTTCTAGGCAAAAATGGTAATCAATCAAAAGTGAAGTTTTCACGAGATAAACAACCAATCAGAATGCGTGTGTGTTGTGCGTATGTGTGTGTTCAATACTTTGCCTTAGTGTAACGCCCACACATATATATATATATACATGTGCACAGCATTGGGATAATATGTGATCACGTGATATAATTCAGTACTACTACTAATACAAATACTATTACACTTTTGATTAGTTGATACAAGTTGTACTGCCTCAGTTAGATGGTTAGTTAGTTTGTTTGTTTGTATTGTGTGTTGTGTTGCAGTTGGTCGTTCAAGGCGTATTTATCCTGATTATAAGATGACCCACAAAGAAAACAAAGGAAATCTATTTAGCAGGAGAAATCTTGAACTTGAAGAAAAATAAAGCATCACTTTTTGTGTAAGGCAGACAGAAGTAACAGACATACGCGTATACACAATATGTGTGATTATGCCTACCCTAGACAGTATGAAGCACAGTGATGAGTGTACAATGAGATGTTGTGTGCTTCTTCATCTTCTTCCCCTCTCCTACTTCTTTCTCTACAGGTGTTATTTTTATTCTCATTTCTAGAAGTTGTTTAATAAATAAATGCAAAAAACAAACTTTAAAAATTCCTCTGTGTGTTGTACACTCACTGGACATTGAATCGTTTTGGGGGAAAAATTGATTTTTATTTATTAAATAGACATGTTGGGCATTCATTGCTTTTCGGTTGGTTGTTAGATTTCGTCATGAATAGGGGACATTGAAAACCAAGGGGCATTGGACAACTGTTTCGTTCTATTTCTGGGGACTCCTCAGTTGCGTTCACCCACGCATGACCCAAAATGAAAGCCAACCTGTAACCATCAGGTTACGAAACCAAGCCTGTTGACCATTCAACCAATATTTTGATGTGGTTGTGTTCTCTGAGCTGGATAGTTAATTTGCGAAGCTTTCATCGCCCTACTAGGCGACATCTTCAGCGCATACTTCAATTTGAAGTGAGCTTTAAGATTTCTCCACGAGTTTATTAATCATCTCTCCTGGTGGGTGACGTTGAACGGGATTAATTCTTTTATGTGTTTTCACACCTTCTAGGTTACTTGTATTGTAACTCATTGTTTCTTTGACTTGAACAGCGAAAGAAGATAAAACCAACATCATCTACAAAATTAATTGCAACAACTGCGAAAAACACTAAATCGGCCAAAGTGGACGTCCCCTTCGTCTCCGTATCCACGAACATAAGCTAGCCGTCAAAAGACATGACATCCACTCCCTCATATCACTACATACAGACAACCACGGACATCAATTCAACTGGGATAACCAACGTTCAAATATTAGACAGAGGAAACATCAAGAATGCGAGAGAATTTTTAGAAGCCTGTCTAGTGTTCCAGTGAATCTCCAATCAATAGACACATCGAGATAGACAAAATTTATCAACCGATAAGAAAGAAACCTCACACACTAAGGGTCAAAGTTCAAGTCGAAGAAACAATCAGTTCCAATACAAGTAGCCTAGAGTGTGTGAAAACACACAAAAACATCCAATCACGTTCAAGGTGGTCACCAGGAGAGATGGTGACTAACAAACTCGTGGAGAAATCTAAAAGCTCACTTCCTCGAATTGAAATATGCCCTGAAGATGTCGCCTAGTAGGGCTATGAAAGCTTCACAAATTAACTATCCAGCTCAGAGAACACATCCACATCAAAATCACCCACCTGAGTTACAAATCTTCTCTATCATATTCAGCCATTATTTTTAATTATAGCTTGATTCCACACCGTAATTTTGGTACAGGTATAGAATTTTCAGCATGTGATATCGGTAGTCTAAATTTTGCAAGCCAACCAATTGTTATCGGGTGTGCATCGGTATGGGGTTTGAACCGCAGACTATTTGCATGGTCGGCGAGAGCCCTAACCGCTGTGCTACTGACTCTGGAATACATTGATCTGTGGATCCTAACTTTGTCAACTCATGATGTAGCGCCATTCTCAACAATACTTTATGTCAGTGTCCACTTCACCTTGATATGGTTCACCCTACTGCTTAGACAACTTGTCACTAAAACTCCACCCAGTAGCCATCAATGATCAAGAGATTGATATCAAGATAATTCGATTTGTGCGTATTATTATTGTTCCCTTGGGTTCCTAGTGGAACAGAGGGCTTCAACTACACGTCTCCACTTGCTTCTGTCTTCTGCTGTACTTTTCACTTGCATCCATGTTAGTCCATACTGTTTCAACTCCTCTTCACACGATCTCCTCCATGTCACCCTTGGACGTCCCATTCGCCGCTTCCCTCCAGGGTTCCACTCGAGCACTGGCCTGACGCGCGATGTCACCCAGCGGCCTCCTCAGCGAGTGTCAAATCCATCTACACTTTCTCCTGCATATTTGTTGGGCGATTGGTTCTTGTTTTGTTTCTTCCCATAGTTTCTTGTTGGTGATTCTTTCCGGCCATCTGATCTTCAGTATAGAGGGAAGACAGTTGTTGATAAAGGTCTGCAACAGGCTGTTGGAAATATTCTTTGTGACCCGCCAAGTTTCTGATCCGTATAGAAGAAGAACTGACTTGACGTTTGTATTGAAAATCCGAATTTTGTTGTTGATGCAGGCTGAGTGACGAAGATTTCCAGATTGGTTTCAGGTTGATGAATGTGTTTCTCGCCTTCCCGATTCTCGATTTGACATCCTCGTCCGTTCCTCCTGTAGTTGAGACAATGCTCCCTAGATAAGTGAATTAAGTGACCTCTTTCAAATCCCTCCCGTTTATGGTGGTTGGCGCTGGATGTTGCTGCTGTTGTTGTTGGTTGGTTGGTTATTTTCACAACCTCCGTCTTGTCTATGTTCACCTGGAGTCCTGTCTTCTCTGGCTGCTTCTTCGACCAGTTTGTCGGTTTTCGCTTGTAAGTCTTCGATTTTGTGTGACATCAAACATAAATCATCCACGCGCGAAATCCAGGTCTTCTAGGTTCTTCACGTCGGTCCAGGATATCCCTGTCTTCTCGTCTCCCACTGTCTGACGCATAATCCAGTCCACCACAATTAGGAATATCATTGGTGATAATAAGCACCCTTGTCTGACTCCTGTGTTTACTCCAAACGCCTCGCTGAGTTTTCCGTTGTGGATCACTTGACATGTGCCGTTGTCGTACAGCTGTTGAATAAGGTTGATGAATATTTGGGGTACGCCGTAGTACTCGAGTAGTTTCCAAATTACTTCGCGGTCAACGCTGTCGAAGGCCTTCTCAAAGTCTATAAACGATTTGTGGGTAAAATGGATTAGTTTTAATTGTTAGATTTCGTCACGAATGCTGTCCTGAAGCTGTACTGAGAAGTTGTGACACCCAAGGGTCCATTACATCAACGTGAAGTGGATGCTGTATCACGAGATGACAAAGTTAGAATTCCGTTTCTTCACGTGGAACTAACAAGAAGAACTGATGGGAGCCTAAGAAGATCGATTCATAGTGAAGCTACTTGGAATGCTCAACTAACAAGCTTCTATAGCTGGGTACTCATCCAACAAAGACAGAATTTAATTTAATCACTTCCCACCCGCATCCGATGCATCTGTAGTTCCAAAGTGGATACACACCAAGATTCATTGATAAAAATATCAAAACAAGAATTTGGAGAAATGGAACTTCCCTTGCGCCTATAAAGAAACTCTACATGAACTTGGATTTCAAGGGAGATTTAATAGGCGATATTCTCAATCGAAGGATCACATCATCTCTGAGAAGAATATTCTTTGCAGCAACGCTTAGAACAGTCTTCTCCAGGCGCCCATCGATCTGCAGAAACCTTAAGTAAGAGACCCTGCATCTGACCACTTCTATGTGCATATTCCAGTTCACCTGCTGAGATAGAGCCAGGTGCATCGGCCGTTCGACGCGAATCCTGTCCAAGAGGATTCAAGAACACCATCCAGCATGGTGGCGAATAGGCAATAGTGGCGCAATTAGGAATGCGATAATTGAACACCTGGTTAACACTGATCATTCCATCTCAACAAACGCCTCCTGCATCAAAGTAATCCACAGAGTCAAGAATAACCTACCAAAGGCAATGTGGTTTCGTCTTCTTTGTATCGCTGAAGCTGTGACCATTCACATAGAAAAACCGGAGCTGTGCATACAAAAGAGAATAACTCAACCACTTCTACTGTCATGGTAACAACTTTGTTGATTTTTGATGACTTAATTTTGTTTGTTTGTCTGTTCTTTAATTGCTTATAATTCTTGTATTCATTTAGAACTCTTACTTAATTTCGTATTCTCTACTTTGTTCCTTTGTGCATCCTGAGTGAAACTCAATCATCAAACTATTCATATCATAACTACATAACTTCTTTTTGCCAATTGTTTGTGACAACTCATCACCTTTGTTACTACCCTAATTTCATTAACACCCAGTTTTCTTGACTGATCTTGTATTACGTAACTCTAATTACCAATCTTCACCTGTTTGGTTAAAATAACTATAA